AACCAACGGTTAATGATCTAGCTGGTATCGCCGCCAAGCCCTCATCGACTTCAACACAATCACAGGCTAGCATCTTTGAAGGTTTCAAAAGAACGTAAGTAAGGTGGCTGTCAATAAAAAGCCAAATGCCATCTAATGAACTGCATCAGAAGTCTAACGTTTTAAGTCCTGATGCCATCTTAGCGATGAATAGCCCCTTTTCATCATCAAACAATCTGGATAAAGTAAAGTAAATGGTACATGCGTGTTGTTCTGAAATTGCTGACGTAAGATTTAGCCATTTGGTTGCTTATATAACTGACCTTTATCACTATCTGCCTCGTTCAATGCTAGGTAAGCTCCTTCTATGAATCCCGTACTGATGACAGAAAAATTTAAGATAACACCTAGAGAAACTCTGCATTGCAATACTTGAATGAAAATATCACACATTGTTCAAATGCAGTAAGAACGTAAGTAAAAAATTACAAGAACGTGTGTATGTGTGTGTGTGTGTGTGTGTGTGTGTTAAACTAGAGCAATTGACACGCAATGGTGGTCAAAGCTGATTTTTCTAACGATGACCCAAAAAAACAAACTTGCAACCTCTTCCAACCTTCCTCCCAAGTACTTTTTCCTGGAATATATAATGAGGAGTTAAATGTCATCGCTTCGGTCCAGGAACAATCACGTGGTAGCTTGTTCCATACAGATACTGTTCTAGGAAAGAAGCTGTCAGCGTGGAACTTTCTCCTAAGAGGTTGTGTATGGAGGAAGAGAGAGTGATGTCCTTGCCGAGACATTGCGAAGTGGAGGCACTAGCGAGTAAAGTTCCGCGGATCATTTACCGTGGAAATGGCGATAAAATAACGACAGGCTTGCAACATTACGCCTATGTGAGGGTGGTTGAAGGGTGGCAAACAGGTCACTCCAAACAAGATTTTATAAGCGGTTTTGAACTCGGTGGAGGCATGTTAGGGAGCTTTGGGCAGCTCCAGCCGAGATATGACAACAGTATTCCATTCTCCAATTTGCCAAATAAGCGCAAATCCCGTATTATCATGCTTCTCGTGGGTTTATCTTTATTCTCAAAGGAACCTAACAAAATACATGTAGTTTGAATCTAACCCGAACATATATCGCCATTACCAACCACACGAACACCTTCCAACTCAAATGATATTAGAATTTTATACAGTAGTAGTAGAATTTAAATTTTCTATTAGTATGCCTACTCATCTTTTGAGCTAACAAGGGAATTCATCAACCAATTTCACGTACGTGCTAAATCTTTTACGTTTTTGGTCTGTTCTACCCATGTATTTGCCTATAACAATAGAAAGATGCCATGAAGATAACTGACCACTTTGCTGCCTGCTAATAGCCATGGTTGAACTTTGGCATAAATCTTGGTTATCGGAACGACGATTCCCGAGGTTTTGGCAGGCTTACGTTGTTGCCCCTTGTTTTGAAATTTGGTCGGCGGCCAGGTTCTTAAAATACTCCTAAACTACGTACTCGATTCAGTGGAATAAAGATGGAAAAGCTTGTTTGCTTTCAGAATTGATGTCAAAGTAGAGACAACCAACGGTTAATGATCTAGCTGGTATCGCCGCCAAGCCCTCATCGCCTTCAACACAATCACAGGCTAGCATCTTTGAAGGTTTCAAAAGAACGTAAGTAAGGTGGCTGTCAATAAAAAGCCAAATGCCATCTAATGAACTGCCTCAGAAGTCTAAGTTAAACGTTTTAAGTCCTGATGCCATCTTAGCGATGAATTGATAGCCCCTTTTCATCAGCAAACAATCTGGATAAAGTAAACGGACCATTTGCTTGCTTATATAACTGACTTTTATCGCTATCATATATACCATTGCTTCGTTCAATACTAGGTAAGCTTGTTGCCTTCTATGAACCCCATAGTACTGGTGACGGCAAAAAACACCTAGAGAAACTCTGCATTAGACGTACGTAAGAAAAAATCATGAAACAAATCACACATTGTTCAATGCAGTAAGAACTTTATAT